TACCTGTAAGTCATGCGTACGACCCTCTATTTCACATGACGAACTTGAACTTGGGGGAAGATGAACCAGCCTCAGATATCTTTCACAATCCTTATATGCAGACTGAAGAGGCCTTGAAAGTTGGAGACAGATTTCGAACAAAAGAAGAGTGTCTTAGAACTATCAAAAAATACCACATGGAAATTTTAGCTGACTTCACTGTAGATAAAAATAATTCAGGGAGGTACGTTATTTTATGTCGTCAAAAACTAATTTTCCCTTTTCGGTTAACAACATCTTACAGGAAGAGAAGTGATTCATGGGAAATAGGTTCCATTGATCCACTCCACACTTGCATCACCACCGTTCTGACACAGGATCATCAGAAACTTAGTTCTCAACTAATATGTCAAGAAATCTTGCCTCTTATTAGCAAGGATCCATCATTAAAGGTGAGTACAATTATTTCTCATATCACTACAAGATTCAATTATACTCCCTCTTACATGAAGGCATGGATCGGGAGGACTAAGGCATCGTACAAAGAACTTCCAAGATTTTTGGTGGAACTCAAATATTATGCTCCGGGAACTGTTATAATTTTGGAGACACTCCCAACATTTACCCCAGACAGAACTCATGTTAGTGGAAATGGAATATTCCATCGATTGTTCCGGGTGTTTGAACCATGCATCAAGGGTTTTGCATTTTGCAAACCTATTATACAGATTGATGGAACTTGGTTATACGGGAAGTATAAAGGAACATTGCTCATGGCAGTGGCACAAGATGGGAACATTAATGTTTTTCCGATTGCCTTCGCTCTAGTTGAAGGTGAGACAGGTGGTGCGTGGGATTTCTTTCTGAAGAATCTCTAATTACACGTTGCTCCTCAACCCAACCTTTGTTTGATTTCAGACAGACATCCATTGATTGTGAGTGCATACAATAACCCTGATAACGGTTCGCAGGATCCCCCTTCGACGCATGTCTATTGCATTAGACATATCACACAAAACTTCATGCTCCATGTCAAAGACAAGACACTTCGAAAGAAAGTTATTAATGCAGGGTATGCCTTAACAGAACCGTTATTCCGACACTATCGCGAAGAAATCCGGTTGGAATACTCAGAAGCATTAAGGTGGATTGATAACATTCCAGTGGAGAAGTGGACTCGGGAATTTGACAATGGTCAACGATGGGGCCACGTGACAACAAATTTGGTGGAATCATTGAACTCTGTATTCAAAGGCATCTGAAACCTACCAATTACTGCTTTGGTTAGAGCAACATATTTCAGGATGGGGTTATTGTTTGACACAAGAAGTTCAAAATGGAGGGCAGTGTTATAATCAGGGAAGTTGTTCAGTGAATGCATGATGAAAATATTTAACAAGGAGGCTATGAAAGCAAACACCCATAGTGTCACCGTGTTTGATCGTATTAAAGGTTGGTTCAGTGTACAAGAGACAATGGATCATAATGAAGAGAGGCCAAGGGGATATTATCGGGTCGAACTAGATAAAGGTTGGTGTGATTGCGGAAAGTTTCAAGCATTTTGCATGCCTTGCTCTCATGTCATAGCGGCATGTTTGCATGTTCCCTTGGATCCAATATAACATATATCCCCCGTGTACACAGTAAAGAGTGTTTTAAGTGTGTACATCAATACCTTCTCCGTGTTGGCAAATGAGGATTATTTGCCTGTTTACCAAGGGGACATTGTTTGGCACAACGAACAAATGCGACGGAAGAAAAAGGGGCGCCTGAAAAGCACTCGTATTAGAACTGAAATGGATACGGCCAACAAAATGATAAGATTATACAGTACATGTCGTCTTCCCGGACACAATCAGAAAAATTGTCCGAATATTGGATCTAGCTCTGCAACCTAACTTTTTTATAGCAAACTTTCCAGAGTGTTTAACTTATTGTACGCAATATATTTCAATTTAAATTCGAGTTATCATTTCGTGCTTAATTTATCATTCGATTACAACAACTTTCACATAATGACACAAAAAGTTACAACACCACATACTCAGGACAATAATACAACAACATGATAAACAAACAAAACAACTAAATAAATCATAATATCTAAGAGATAAAAACCATCAACACAATATCATCTGGTCCAAGCATCATCATCATGACATCAGCATCGCATCTCACCTTTTTACATGATCGGCTTACTCCATTTTCGTTCCTCACTGTAATGTGCCTTTCTATTTTTCTAATTTGTTCACCTTCAAGAATGTCTCCTTTCAACCAGCGAATCAAGTGCCTTTGAAAATGCTCGAACGTCTGTGTGTTCCAGAGTTTGATCTTCACCAGAGGCTTTGTCGCCGAAAAAATAACATGCGCATCTCTTTTGTCAGTGAAAACTTTGGCAAGGAAGTTGAAGACATTTTCTAAGAGTTATGTAACAAATGGTGTGAAAAAATGAAGAGGATGGGTGGTTGCATTTATAGAAAACCATATAACATTGTCAAGTCAAGGAGGGTGACGCCTCCTCTCTAGAAATACATGCAAGCGCCACACTGCATGACTTTACAGAGGAGGACAAGCAATACAGTGTGGCGTCTCTTCTTTAAAATGTATGCATGCGCCACACATAGTGGCTACTCCTCTGTGTGGCGAATTTTTTATATTTGAAAAGTAGTCAGTTTAGTAAATTTTTTGAAAAAATAATTATTTAAAAAAAAAATTCCATCATCATAGTAAAAGACAATGAGTAATAAATGATTATAATTATGGTAGTAAATTATTATTATTATTATTATTATTATTATTATTATTATATTATTATTATTATTATTATACAATTGGTCCATTTTTAATATTTTTTTATTTTTTTCTGATTTTAGTTATTTAATTGTTTGTGTGTATTTTTTATTAAAAAAATGGTGATTTCTAATAATATATTAAAAAATATTAAAAAATTTTTTCTGTCAAAAACTGGACTCCCTACCAATAACGCATACCCTTCTAGGTTAAGGTCATCTTATTTATATAGTATATGTATTATTGCCTTTTAATAATACACATCAACGTTTAATTATATGTTGGTCGATCTAATCAATCTGAAGGCACAATTCTAATTTAAGAAATCTATCTACCATAAAAATATATCTACCATAAAAATATAAAGAAATTCTATTATTTCTCTTCTTAAGTAACCGTCTAAATTTGCAATGTAACTATTAATAAAAAATTATGCATTCTCATATGTATACATGATCGCTACTCACATTGATGCTGTGGTGTTCTAGCACCCACATTTTCAGTAAACATGTTCCTACTTCAATTGATGTAGCGGGGTTCTAACTCTAACATTCCCGTTTTTAACTTAATTATAAGTTTATATGTAAAAAATTAAATTAATAAAATAATGAATATTATGGGGTTTCATTCAAGATATTGGTTAAATAGTTAGTATTTAACTTATAATAAAAATAGAATAAAATAAAATAAAGGAGTGGTTACTAGTTACTTTTACTAGTCACTTTTAAGAAAATATGGGTTATGCTTATTTTGAGTTTAGTATTAAAATATAATAAATTAATGAAAATAAAAGAATTAGATTATATAAATAATAAATAAATGGATGAAATTACAAAAGCACCCTTCATTTTGACTCTAAAAAATTGTTAAGAGACTTAACAATTTTTATATATAAAATTACAAAAACATTCTTCATTTTGACTCTAAAAAATTGTTAAAAGACTTAACAACTTTTATATATAAGATCTCTCGAAGTGGTATAATGATTTTTGATTCTAAATGTGGTGTGATTTAAATTACTTATATTTTGTATTTGATGTTCATTCGCAAGAAATAAATTGGATTCAAAATAATTGAAATGTGTATTTTTGAATTATTCTCGTATCCAAAAGAATATTATTAGTTTTTTTCCAATATCATGTTGTTATTCCATTTAAATTAATGCATGTCTCATTCTTTGAAGATTGTTATTTTTACTTGAGCCTCAATCGTCTTTGTAAGTGTGTGAGTTAAATGATTATTTCTTAACCTATATCATTACACACGTTGTTCGATCACATCTGATAGGAAATGATAGAAGGTGCAATTCGATATTTTAATCAGTACTATAATGTTATTTGTTATTTTATTTTGAATGCTTTGTCGAATTGAATTTTTAGTAGTGTTTGAGTCTTTAAGTTAATTACCCATTAGAAGTATTATATATTGTAGTCTCATTGAGACATTAGGTATGAATGAAATGAAAAAAAATCTTTTATCTCCCTTTATTTTAATTAGCCAATATAATATTCTTCCCCTTTTAGTGTAGAAAACCCTAGTTCATAGCTTTAATAGGAATCTTCTTATCAATTGGTCTTTTCATCTATGTACTCAAATCCTCCTATGGATTATCCTTATCATACACCTTCATTTTCATCTTACCACTCCACCATAGACACTACTCCTACCACGCCCTCATTTCCATCTTTTCCATAGGAACTTTTTACACCTTGTTACACTCATGTTTGCATCTTCATCACCAAATTTATATTAAAATCATGGATATTCACCTCATACTGATTACTCATATCTATAGAGCATTCCTCAATTTTATTCCACAAACACAACTCTTACTATTGCTTCACAAAATTTGTGTTTTCATGGTTATACACCAGTTTTCCCACAATCATACGCATATCATACACCACCTTCAATACCACTATATCCAGCTCATTCACCCATTCCAAATTCAACAGATCTAATAAAAAAGAAACCATGTTAGCTCTCCTCTTTATTGTATGTTAAGATTGACATACACAAAAGGGAAAAAAAGAAGGATGAACAGAAAAGGAAAAAGAGTTTTCAAACCAAAAATTTCTGTGATATTCCCAACCATTTAACCAGCGTCACTGCCAGCGATAACTCCGACGTCACTGCCAGCGATATCTACGACAAGCAAATTTTGAGAATCACATATAGAAATAGACGTGCAAGGCCGACAAGAACAAGAGATTATTTTCGAAGAGGAACATATGTTGGAGTTACAACGATTGATGGAACTCAATGATTGCTCAATTTTATCAATTGAGGGTTATATAGAGGAACATGTGTTGGAATTACAGCGACTAATGGAAAACCTAATTTCCCTTAATTCTTACTACCATGAATTTTACAGTACCTTAACCCCAGAAGTTGCAATTCCTTTCAACCTAGTATCCCCATTGAAGAAAGATCTTACTCATAGTGAAATACTTTCAGCTCCGATTTCTAATCCATTACCAGGGAAGACAAATACAAACACATCCTCAGACAGTGACATGTACGGATCCAGTGAATCATCTATCAAACCTCAACACCTGAACGATGAAGTCTGGGACTATATTTTATGTGATGGAACTCTTCCTAAGTCCAGAGATATTTCATCATCCCTTTTAGAAATAATGAAGTTCGATTTTGATTATTGGTATCCATTTGATTTCCATTTTTCTGGTAAAGATCTTATCCAAAATCACCTTACCTTCTGCATTTACAGCCATACTACAATTATGCCCAAACATTAATGGCCTTATGGGTTTAGATGAAATGGCCACATAAATCTCAATATTGAGAAAATGTCCAAGTCCACTGGATATTTCAGAACTATTCACCAGGAAATTGAGGAGTTTTTTGCTAATGCTACATGGTTTACTTTGGATGATGCTGGAGATTACGTCGATGAAGCAAATTTTTACTTTGCGAAAGAAAATGTCGTGATTCTAGATCTCACCAAAGAGCTTGCATGGTATGTGTAATACGATGGAAGAACTGACTTAATTTTGCATTTTATCGCAAATGTTGCAGATAGCAAGAGCCGCCACCGACTTTTCTTTCATCCAATAAGGAAAGGGTGAAAAGAACAGGAAAGACCTTGAGATTTTATTGAGTTCGGGGGGTAGGTTATGAAAAGGGAAGGTGTTAGCACCCTTTTCATCTGTAGTCATCTACGGGCTCTTAATCGCTAGCTCACTTTGAAAATGCTTTGTGTTTGTGTTTGTGTTTGTTTGAAAATATTTTGATAAAATGCCTAAGTATGGAAACTTTGTAATGATTCTTGTATCGTTTAGGAACGCGTACAAAGTGTTTGTTTTTTCTTGAAAATATTTCAGAAGAAGTGTTTGTGAAAAAAAGATGTTTTTATGAGCAAGCGATTATGAGCTATCTACCTACTCAAAGATCTTTTGTGTTATTTTCCTCCTCCTTTAGATAGTGTTATCCTACCATTGGTTAGTAGGAAGCCCTGTCGTTGGATGTGAAGGGACATGTGTAGGGTCATCGTTATGGTCATAAAAGGTAACATATAAGGATACCTTAGCAATTTGAAGGGACTAATCATCATATATTTGTAGGAAACATCGAGGGACAAAATCATTTATCGTAGGCAACTCAAGGGACATTGCGATATTATAATCTTTATGATGATTTTAACTGAGGGTCTTTGCTAAGGGTATCCCTGCGTTCGAGGGACAGGACCATGTTTATCCGAAGGCAACAAGTGAGGTTACCTGATAACACCTGATCGCACTGCATATTTGACTCAAATAATACATGTTTCTCATAATTTTTAGTGTTGTTTTCTTGCGTTATGCTTGTATTTGTCTTGTTTTCAGGCAACATGCCCATTTGGAGCTCTTCATGAAGAAACCAAACGAAAAGGCCAAGAAATCGAGATTTTCAGTGAAATCTTACACATGGCATTCAGCTCAGCGACCGCTATAGGGGGGCGTCATGATGTGTCCCACTCCACCCAGGGGATAACTGCCACGTCTCCACGATCTCTCTATCTGCACACTCAGCACCCGCAAAGGGGCCTCGACGGCCGCGGTCTTTGTTAAGTCTCTTCCCTCCCAAAAGGAGTTAGGGGGAATTCCTGTCAAAGCATAGCCTGGAGAACTTCTATAAATAGTAGTTTTCATTTCATTTTCCATCATCCAACTTAGTCTTGCAACACTAAGCCTATACTCACTTGTGTAAAAGCAATACTTCGCCATATCAGAGGATTATTGCACCATAGTCTTGATTAGGTTGGAGCGTCTCTTTTATTTACAATATTGTCGCCATTTTACTTCAAGCATTTACTTTCCAGTTGTACCAAGATTTAAAGACTCTGATTTGGAGCAGGTTTCTATTTAAGTTTTATTAATTTATTCAATCGCTTTCTCTTGCACTTGCATTACTTATTTTATTGCCTTGCCTTTATTACTATATTTATTTCGATCAACTTTAATATGCTTGCTTTTATTTCCATGTCTGGCTAAATATTTTAAGGTTGGAATGTAAGGATCATTGTCATGATAACATTTCAACACCGTATTAGTAGAAACACTTTAGGGGTTGTTTTAACTTTTAACACAAGTTTTCTGTACTTAATATTTTTGGATAAGATCGAAAGTCGTCCATTTCAAAGAGTAAACTTGGTTAGTTTTTAACCGTTCAAAAAGGGAGAAAGAATTTTGAATGGTTAATAAGGGATCTTTGACACTTTTATAAAACAATTTTGAAACTATTTTCATACGCGTTTATAAGTTTACAATCCGATTCTCGAGCGAAAGCCAAGAATCTCTTTATGTCAATCATTCCAAGTTAAAACCACTTTTTTACTAAGTTAAGAAACTAATTTCTTAAAAATAGGTTTGTTGCTTTAACACTTGAAGCACCCTTTTATAAGTGACAATAGAAGTATTTGATTAGAGAGTAAACTTGGTTCTTAGTTAGTGAAAGCGACAAGTTCCCGTCAAATTGTTCCTTTACAAGAGTAAAAAATATTGCCCCATGAGTAGTTCTATTAAATACAAATTGAAATGTTATTTGACCAATGTGATTTATATTCTAGAATGTCTTTTATCTGAATTTACTTTATCTATTTATTTCCTTTGCATTATACCCCCTCAACTGAATCGATCAGCCTTAGATAAGCAACTTAATAATAGAGTTGATAGATTAACGACTGGTCTCTATGGTTCGACAATCCTTTATATTACTTTCATAGGCTGTGCACTTGCAGTTAGATTTTAGACTCTATAAATAGACTGAACAAGTTTTTGGCGCCATTGCCGGGGACCAAACTTCGTCAAATTTCGTACCGTATTTTTATCCTGTTTAGACTAATGCTCTATTAGCCGGTAAATGCATAAGAATCACAATACCGAAAACTTAGTAGATCCTTTAGTGGAACTAGAATGTTACACTCGAGCACGTCTTTTTCTCTGTAGGATAAAGAGAACTATGGCCAAAGATCGTAACCGAAGACCCCTTAAGGAATTTTCCCAACCATCAGACGAGGAGCCTAGTTCAAGTATAGTAAACCCTTCCATAACTACCAATAATTTAGAACTAAAGCCCTCGTTATTACAATTAGTGCAACAAAATAAATTCGCTGGTCTCGCCTCAGAGAACCCAAATCAGCACTTGAAAGTTTTTATCCAATTAGCGAACACTCTAAAGACCAATGGTGCTTCACCTGAGGCAATTCGTTTAAGACTATTCCCTCTCTCCCTCAGAGATAAAGCATGTGATTGGTTAGATTCCCTTCTAGCCAATTCAATAACGACTTGGGAAGACCTTAGGAGAGTATTTCTTGCTAGATATTTCCCGCCAAGCAAAACCGCAGTCCTTAGAAACCTGATCACTAGATTTACTCAAAACCAAGGAGAAACACTTGTTGAAGCATGGGAGAGATATAAAGACTTGTTAAGAGCTTGTCCACACCATGGCCTGGAGCAATGGTTAATTATCCACACCTTCTATAATGGAATCCATTATAACAGAAAGATGTCTATCGATGTTGTCGCTAGTGGCACACTGATGAACAAACCTTACCCTGAAGCTTGTGCTATCATAGAAGATATGGCCCAAAACCATTACCAATGGGGAGCAGAACGAGCAATAGTAGAGAAAAAGGAGGAGTACATGAGATAAGCTTCCTGGACATGTTGCAAGCCAAAATGGACGCTCTTGCCTTAAAAGTTGAAAACATGTCTCAGAGCCCGAACACTGTAGCTTAAGTACACTCGGAATGTGAACTCTATGGGACCCAGGGACATCAAACTTCATACTATAACCTGTTGAATGGATCTAGCACAGACCAAGTCAACTATACCCAAGGAAACCCATTCTTGAACACTTACAATCCCGGATGGAGGAATCACCCAAACTTTTCTTATAAGAACAACAACCCAATTCAGAATTCTGCACCTCCGAGAACCCAAGGTTTCCAATACCAAAGACCAAATCAACCTATGCAAGTTGTACCATCGAAACCAAACCTTGAGAAAATCATGGATAATTTCATTTCGGCCCAGACTCAGTAAAATAAAGAGTTCCTGAATCAGAACATTCATATAAATGAACTAATCACACAATTAGGAACTAAGGTTAACTAGATAGTTACTCATAACAAGATGCTTGAAACCCAAATCTCTCAGGTAGCCCAGACACAAGCTCCTCAAACTACACCTGGAGGATAATTCCATGGACAACCTCAACCAAATCCCAAAGGGCAAGCTAATGCCATTACCTTACAAAGTGGGACTACTTACGATGGACAAACAAACCTAACATTAAGCGTGTCCGAACAACCTAAGGAAAGTGTAGTGCCTTCAGACCAAGTAGAGGAACCAGAGGAACCTGAAAAGCAAAAAGACCCGGGAATGGAAACTAAAGATAAAACTTATATACAGCCACCCCCATACAAACCTCTGATGCCATTTCCGCAAAGATGTAAACAAACCAAGATTGATAATCAATATCAAAAATTCATAAAGGTTATAGAGAAACTCCATGTAGTGATTCCTTTTACCGAAGCTATCACTCAGATACCGTCTTATGCGAAATTCCTAAAAGACATCTTGACCAACAAGTGTAGATTTGACAATCCTAAAACCTTTAGAGTGCAATTTCATTTCCGAAAATAAACTTGCCAAGAAAGAAAAGGACCCAGGAATTTTTTTCATACCTTGTATCCTAGGAAATCACATGGTTGACAAAGCCTTTTTAGACCTAGGAGCTAGCGTCAGTTTAATGCCTTTGGAAGTTTGTAAGAGGCTAAACTTAGGAGAATTGCATCAGACTAAAATGTCTCTTCAATTGGCCGATAGATCAGTAAAATATCCTATGGGAATACTAGAAGACATACCAGTTAAAATAGGTCAGCTATATATCCCAACAGATTTCATAGTCATGGATATTAAATAAGACGACGAAATCCCAATCCTTATAGGTAGACCATTCCTATCAATCGCAGAAGCCATAATAGATGTTAAGAAAGGAAAATTTACTTTTGAGGTAGGTGATGAAAAGATAGAATTTATTCTTTCGAATTTCTTAATGGCACCGGTCATAGGAGATGCATGATATGCCATTGACGTCATTGATGAGTGCATATTGGAAATGGATCAAGAAGAACCTATCGAAACTATCAAGTTACCTTTAACCCCCATTTGGGAGGACGATGGATTTGAAAGATTAGAACCCTACTTTGATGACAACCTCTACGAATGTTTAGCCCTTACTCCAGATCCTATGC